TAGTGATGTGAAGCTCGGATGTGAACTGTGAATTGTCTTCAACTCACACTGTATTTATACCAATTTGACAAATTGCAATTTGTTGCAATAATTATTTATAAAAATCGATTATTGAACATTAAATAATGCATTAAGCATAATCGTTACGTCATAGGAATTCCATGAGTTTCGATAATATGTCGTTAATAACTACAATTTGTACAAGCTGTAAAATTATTTTTATACGTTGATATAAGTTGAGAAGGTTTTTTTTAGCTTTGGTGTGTTAGCTTGGATTAATAAGAATTCACTGGTAGAAACAGGCTTTACATTCATGTAATTGTACTTATTAAAATGCCGTCCTGCAGTACTGGCCATTTTAAATCAAAATATATTTTGTTTGACTAAGAATTCTAATTTCAAATTAGTTTTGTTTTAAAACCATAGATTGTTTTTTCAAAACAGCCATTTGTTTATTGATTAGTGCTACATTTCCATTGCAATATAATCTTTTTCGTCATCATGGGTTCGTTAAAAATTCCAGTAATATTGCAATAAGAGTATCGTCCACCGTCTGTAAATGTTTTTGATGTACCACACAACATCAAAAACATTTACGGATTTTTTTTTGTGACTGAATGGCCACTGTTTTTCTTAAAGAGACATTTACAGATTCACCGAGCTTGATTTGGCCGAGCGCAGATGGCGCTTAGCCTAAACCTCGTTTATGAGTAACTAAGCTCGAGGATGAAAAAAAATCTACGGCTATAAATCTGTAAATCTGTGTATAAAGCACTTAACTTGTAATCTACGGGTCTTAATATTATTTTCGAATTGCATATATGTATACATAATTTACCCGAAGTTCCAATGGTGAAGTAAGTATTGTGATTTTAGGTAGGTTCCGAGCCCTAAGTAGTGACGTGTATGGTAGATGGTGATGAATGATTTATTAAAAATTTTACGATACTTAAAAATTAGCTCAACAAATTATACAGAATTTATTAAAATTAAGAAATTTGAAATTTCCATATTCGTTTAAAGGTTGCATGACGTTTCATCTGATATGACGTTTAATGTAACCATGTATGAGACCACGTATTTTAGGATAATAATATTCTAAATATCAATTTTATTCGGTTAGTAAATGACTAAATTACTGCCTGCACTGAAACACTGTCTTCAAGCTCCTTAAACCCTTTTTTGGTATCGAGGAGGGGAGACTTTTTCAAAAATACCCTGCCTTCTAGGAGAAAAACAAAAAGAAGAGATGTAGATGATAGTGTAGTCTGGAAAACACATAGGTTACTTATTTTTGTTTTTTTTTATTTCCACGCGGACGGAGTCGTAGGCGATAGCTAGTCATTTATTACTTATGTACGGCTAACTACAGAGGATATGCTTAACAAAGGAGTGGATTCAGATATGACGGCTGCAGAAGAGCAGCACGTACTGTGCCGACACTCCATAAGGGATAAGGACAAGTTGGCACGGCTAACTACATAATTATTATCATCAGTACAATTTTCATCACAGGTGTATTGAATACTTATGTATTTGAAATAATACTAAAATGGTTAAATCATCTTATACTTTATTTTTACAATACATACAATCAATACAATCATAATTTAACAACATATTAACGTGTTCTTTTTCGTCGTTGTTTTCATTATCAAAGATAACATGATGCAAGTTCCCATTGCTCTCGTTACTTTCTTAGGTTCCTGGAAATAGATTCCAAAAGTTAAAATCAGCCTTACAATGTAAAACAATCAATTTATTTTGTATACTGCAGGTTACCTTGGTTGCAAGCGGGAACGTACTGCGCCCAATCACATCGTTTGGTCTCGAAATTGAAGCCCATATCTTGTGGGCAAATTAATAACACTACAACTGATTTGTAACACATTAGGAATTGATCACAACTCCCAGTATCCGTTGGATATATTTCACCATGTACACATCCAGGTGATGAAGTGGTTGTTGGTTGTTCAGTCCTAACTTCTGTTGTAGGAATAGTTGCAGTAGTAGTTGAAGTAGTTGAGGTTGTTTCTTGTTCAACAAATGGAACAGCATAGACTATCTCAGGGTATCTTTGTCTTGTCTTTGTAACAGCCACTGGTAGTACTTTACTTATTGGAAATGCATCATCGAAAGACGGAACAGTAGTAGATACGACAGCAGGTCTTTTGAGCAAAACATTAAGCTTATTTGGAGATGAATACTCAAATTCAGGTGTTATTTCAGTTGTAGAAGTTTCTTTGATTTCTGGCTCTGGAGATGTATAAGTATTGACAGTATTAGATGATAATACTTTAAGGGATACGGATTTGTATGCAGTCATTTCTGGTGCAGGAGCATTTTCCACATTAGATACTGGTATATATTTTAAATCTGATTTCGGTATCTTGATTCGTTCTAGAATCTTACTTCTCGATGTAGTTGTGGGCGCAATGGGTGCAACGTTTTCCTTTTTTAATTTTCTTGCAAGGTATTTCAGGCCACCGTCAAGATACGTCGGCGTTTCTGTAAAAAAAATCATTACTGACCTTGAATATTTATTAAAAAGTATATAATTTTTAGCTGTTGTCCGCGACTTTGTCCACGCCCGTGTATGCTACCCTTCAGTGAAAGTCCGGTCGAAATCGGCCTAGCCATTTCGGAGGTTACCCGGAACAAACGCGGATTGCGAACAGACACATAGACAGACAGAAATTTTTTAAATGTGATTTTCATTATAAGCAACGCAAATTCATCTTCCCGAAATCTGGAATTTTTCTTTTGATATTACAAACAGACACTCCTATTTTATTATATGTATGGATAACCTTACTTTTTTAAATAACAATTAAAGATAATTTTACCTGATTGTGTTGTCAAAGCCACCAATAAACAAGAAAGATATATATTTGTCAACATGATTACTTTGGTGTCGAAGTCTTTTTGGTAAGTGCCCACTTTTAGTAATAAATCCCTATTTATAAAAATGAATAATGAGCATTAGCAGGGATGGAAATATTAGTAATAATAGATAATGGCTAATATGTGTAATAATTTAATTATTTTATTTGGAAATCTTGCGCCTGTATAATTATTAATTATTATAATAAAGAGCCTAGAGTTAATTTGCATTACAAATTGTATTCATAGAATTTTGAATCATACTTTACGAGTATAATATTTCTACAAAGTTCAGAACACACGGACGGAACATAACTTTGATAGCGATATGTCTCTTTGTAAATATTGTCTTTCATGATTTTTTTGTAATAAATTTAACTAGCCTCAAGTTTTAAAATTATAATCGATTTTTAAATAAAGAATAATAAAGACCTTGGGCTGACCGCGCCAGGGGCAGAACGAGAGGGTGGCAAAGCGCCACCTATAAAAAAAATGGTCTCTTCCATTCCACAAGTGTTTAGAAATAGCGCTTGAAGAATTATAATGGTTTTGATACACAGAGCCCGAAGTAAAACGTTTTTCCAAGACTACAAAATCAATAAACCGAATTCTTTTTTATTATTTGGAATATTTATATAAAACCAAGATAGTTGTAGTATCAGAGAGATGTTTATGGATTATCACAATAGAATAATGTAGGCGATAGATAAAGCAATTTAAATTGAGGTAAAAGTATTACTAGCTTTCGCCAGCGACTACGTTCGTGTTGTATTGATTACTAGCTGTTGCTAGCGCCTACGTCAGAGCGAAATTAAAAAAAATAGTAATAAATGTAGCTTATGTTTCTCAGTGTATATATTGGTGAAATAAATGTACCCCAGTAGTTTTTGAGTCATTTCATCTTACTTAATATTATAAATGCGAAAGTTTAGATGGATGGCTGGATGGATAGATGGATGGATGGATGGATGTTTGTTAGCGTTTGTAGCCTAAACGGCTGAACGGATCTCTATGAAATTTGGTACAGGTTTAGAGCATAGTCTGGAAGAACACATAGGCTATTTTTTATCCCGGGAATAGTTACGGTTCCCGTGGGATTCATTAATTTAGTTTTTTAATGTTTACTCGATCATTCTGCAATGGTTCAACATATCTTAAAAAGAGAAATGTCCGGTTCCCGAGGGATACCTAACTTTTTGTAATTCATATAGTTTATATGTTTTCTAATACTACGCGGACGAAGTCGCGGGCAACAGTTCATTACTTATAAAAATGCAAGTCTTTCCTCTTTATAATAAGAGCAAAAATATTTTTTTCTTTTGCATTGGTTTTATTCAAACTAGCATAGTTTTTTTCTTAGGCATATTTAACCGAAGTTCCCACTATGTGTTGTTTTAATGCATTTTCATTTAAGGGTAACTTTATTCTACTAATAAACTCAATATACTGATTTAACATTATTATGTTCGTAGCTGACTGTCAGAAATATTTCCTATGTATCGAGGGCAAGCCACGCGGTCTCAGCTGCGGCGGCTACTCCGCCTTCGACGAGGTGACTGGATCATGTGTCGCCGCTGACGACATCGAAGCTTGCCCTGCGGAATTAAAAAGTACTTCTGCCCGTTCAAGACTCGCCGAAGAACAACGACGCGTTGTTGAAGAAGAACTCGCCAAGAAGTGGGCTAAAGGACAACCTATCATCAGTACAGTTGGCCCTTCGAAGTATTACACGACCGCACAACCTAAATTCGAACGTCTGTTTAGTACAGTCACACCGGAGTTATACGCAGAGTATGTGACACCGACAGGCGTCGAACCTCAAGCGTAAACATACTTTGTAGCAGGCTATGTGTTTTCACGCTATTTAATTTAGGGAGTGAATAAAGAAAAAAAAAATAAAATCATGCGGGAAAGGAATTAAAACAACAAGCCAATTGCAGCATATTTTCAAGATTGCCTTGGTAATGATAGTTGTTAGCCACTGGCAAAGGCTTTCGTTGTTATTTGTGTACTTAGATTTTGGTATAAGCAATTAAAACTTTTACAAATGTAAACAATAAAATAAAGTTTTCTATTGAGCAGGCTGTTTTTAATAAAAGTGTTTTTCTTAGTTAATAAATATTTTAATGCTTTATTTTTTCATTCTTCCTTGCATTGAACTTTGGTAGCGTCGACGCAGTGGTTGACGGTGGCGTCGAAAGCGAACCCGCTATCACACACGAGCAGCCGCGCAACGTCCTCCATGCACGAGAAGAAGTAGTGGCAGCTTCCCTTGATGCTGCGCAGACAGAAAACAAGTTCACAACTCGGCTCATTGCTAGATTACTGCTCATGGCGGTGCATGCGCACACACATCACAGTAGTACTCACCTGAAGTTCACTACATACGCCTTGCCGAACTCGTCATAGGTCGCCGGCGGGCACTTGAAGCCGAGGAACTCTGTAAACACAAACAAGAGGAAGATCAGCAACAGTTCTGGTACTGTATGTACTGCACTTTGAACAAAACGAGGAAAGTGTGAGTACCCTCAGCGCTGCAGCTCGGCACGAGGTCGGGCCAGTCGCAGCGGCCGCTCTCGGGGTTGAAGGCCAGGCCCATCGCGCACTCCATCTCGAAGGCCTTGCCCTCGACGCACATGCGGTACTTGCCGCAATCGGAGCGGGTTGCTAGTGGTGACGCGAAGAACCCATACCGGGTTTTGCAATCCGCCGATGACACGGCTCGCTCTGCAGAGAACATCGGCACAGTTAGAGAATAATTTGTGTGTAAAGAGTAGTTAGTGTACAGTGAGATGAGATCAGGTATGTACTCACGAGGCTGGTCGTTGTATTCGCACTTCGCGTCAGACGGGTACGCGCACGGGTACGAAGGCCATTGGACATCGCGGATGAAGTACAGACCATCGGGACACGTCTTTTGCGTCGCCTTGAACTCCTGTAAACGTGCATTCAATATATACATTAAACTGGTATAACACAATGTAGCATGTTGTTAAATATCAACGTAACAAGCGGCGTCACTCACGTTGCACTCCACGTAGGAGTCGCAGCTGCCCTTAATCTTGTAGTACGCATTGTACTCCTTGCACACATCTTCTCCCAACGCACCATTTGATACTACCTCTACGGCATCTAAAATAAATAGAAATGATTTATAAAAATAATTCTAGACGTCGTATAAGATATCGTCGTAGAAGACTGCACTAAGATATTAAAATAATACTTGATTTTTTTAATATATAAATAAACTTACTCGATACCGCAGCAAGAAGGGCGAAACAAACGAAGAAATACATTTTTATAAATGAACTCTTGACTTCTTCGTAGAGTGTTGAGGAATGATAGACAAGTGACAAAACGAACCGAATTTATAGGTAAAATGTAATTTTAATGAGGTATTACAAGTATTATAATTAGTACTTAATGAATAGTAATTACAACACAATTATAGTAATCTGAGTTGAGCAATGATACAATGACCATGGGCAATATCAAACTAAAAAGATGCTTTTTTAAATGTATTTTCAGTAAAAGCCAATAACTTGGTTTCTCAAATACAATGAACTCCAAAGTTTTTATTTTATACTAGCTTTCGTCAGCGACTCCGTCCGCGTGGAATTAAAAAAACAAAAGTGAGTAGCCTATGTGTTCTTCCAGACTATCCTCCACATCTATACCAAATTTCATCGAAATCCGCTCGGCCGTTTAGGCTACAAACTCTAACAAACATCCATCCATCTATCCATCCATCCATCTAAACTTTCGCATTTATAATATTAGTAAGATAAGAAGTAAGATTAGTAAGATTTCGAAGAAAAACCAAATCAAACTTTAGAGTATAACTAACAAAATACGTAAGTTAAACGTAGTTCTAGTAGTAAAATCTTAAAGTATCAAATAGCCGCTTTGAACTAAATTTATCACATAAAGGGCCTGTCCCACCACTGGCAGATAGAGGCTCAGATAGCTTAAAAATGACGTCACTGGGAACATAATCTGGTATTTCCATCACGTATTTTACACTTTCGATTGTTATTAGACAATTTACAATTTAGTAGGGCTAACAGTGAGGTTTTAGATGGGATTAGTAAAACGATTTTTAACTATAAAATTTATATTAACATTCTGATGGTTACATTATAAAATAACATTAAACTACACTAGACAAAGTATCACTGAGCAGTTGGCATGAAGTTAATATTTAAATTGGACTTAGAAATTTTCCTCATTGTCTAGAGGTTCGACGCCTGTCGGTGTCACATACTCTGCGTATAACTCCGGTGTGACTGTACTAAACAGACGTTCGAATTTAGGTTGTGCGGTCGTGTAATACTTCGAGGGGCCAACTGTACTGATGATAGGTTGTCCTTTAGCCCACTTCTTGGCGAGTTCTTCTTCAACAATGCGTCGTTGTTCTTCGGCGAGTCTTGAACGGGCAGAAGCACTTTTTAATTCCGCAGGGCAAGCTTCGATGTCGTCAGCGGCGACACATGATCCAGTCACCTCGTCGAAGGCGGAGTAGCCGCCGCAGCTGAGACCGCGTGGCTTGCCCTCGATACATAGGAAATATTTCTGACAGTCACCTACGGACCTGAAAGTGATAGGAAAATGTAACTAAGCTATCAACGTCCTTAATCTATTCTTGATATTATAAAAAGTAAAGAATTTGATTCTTGCGTTGAATAGGCTCCGAAAGGACTGAACTGATTTGAAAAGTCTGTCGCTGTTAAGAAGCTAAACTAGCCCTCGTAGTCGTCTTATTAATATGTATTATAAATGCGAAAGTTTAGATAAATGGATAAATGTTTGTTAGAGTTTATAACATGAGAAGCTGAGTGGATCTCAATAAAATTTGGCGTATAAGTTAAGGATAGCTTGGAAGAACACATGGGCACATGTACTTTTGTTTTTTTTAGTTCCACGAGGACGGAGTCGAAGTCGAATAAGGGATGATTCTTACTAGATTCTTGTTTAATTCTGCACGGATTAAACCACGAGCAAAAGCTAATGGGATTTAAAGGAAGATCAATAAGTGTTCTCAATGTTTATGTAACCGTTACTTTCTCAATAATTTATACAATGCGATATTGTTAACTCTGTCTATCTCAATTGTGAGAGGGATAGCAATATGTTATGTATATGTGCTCTAGTCTAAACCTATGGTAAGTTTATGCAATACCTCAAACAATGAGAACAAGCGACCCGTTAAGCTATTGCTTGTGACCGTCAGAGTACAATAATAGACTTTTGTTAGTCCAGAAGTTCGACATTGCAACTCATGAGCCTAATGGCCGAATTCTGAAACGACATTTTAATAAGTCTCCTAAATGATAAGGCTCTAAAACTCTAAATTGCTTTAAAATTGTAAAATCAGTCAGATAGTAAGAGAAGTGCTTAAGAATCGTTTCAGTATACGCCCGTTAGTGCGGCCCTACCCATTTTCTAGATTTGCTTTTAGGACACCGATATATATCATTGATTGTAATTTATCTTACTAATGTTATAAATGCGAAAGTTTAGATTGATTAATGTTTGTTCGAGTTGGTAGCCTTAACAGCTGAACGGATCTCGACGAAATTTGGCATAGATGTGGAAGAATGCATAGACTTTCTACTTTGTTTTTTTTAATTCCACGCAGGCGGATTCGCGGGATAAAGCTAGTATTCAATAACTCAAGCTATGTTCGTTTTTAAATTAGAAAACAATTGAATGTATTTTTTGGAATCCTTGTTGGATAAAAAATTGGCCTGTAAAAGTATTTTTCATCAAGATTTTCGCAATACCAGTGGAATTGTTTACTATTTATCACGTAGTAAAATGGACACAGGCTCTCTGAATATTATATACCGGATAGGCCTTATGCAAACGTTTAGCGGCTGGTATTTCTAACATCTTACATAACGCAAGGTCGATTGTCATCCGTTGACATTTAGCGGTGACCTGACACCCGATGACCGGTCGTATTGGGCAACTGGTTCTCTTTGTACTTATAACATTATTTTAATCACCAATTTGCGTATTATATTGTAAATTATACTGTTGACGCATCACTTAACTATTCATATCTTCACAAAAAGTTATAAAAACAAGTTTAAATTGCCTAATGATTTACCTTAATTCTATTTTGAAATTCATTTGTGCCTATTTAAATTCTTTGATTTAAAACAAAATTAAGCATTAGAAATCGCTATTTTTACTATAATAAATTATCTGTAGTAGTAGAAATTACGTTGTTGTCAGAAAATCAATAATAAACTACTCTTAAAAAAACTATTTCTTTGTCTGGTCTTTCTATCGTAAGTTTTATTCTATCTTTAAACTAGTTTTTTTTAGTGGTATTTTTATTCAATGACCTTTTAAATTTGTAATACGAAGATCGTAATGTAAATAAGATTTGATTTTTTTCTTTCATGCACACAAAAATTACTTGTGGAATATATTTTCATAGTTTTTTTGCCTTTTAAGCAAGTAAGTTTAAGTAAGTTAATTACTTGTACTGTTAATAATTTCTCACCTGTAGAACTTATAACCCGCAGGGGGTCCTAACTCCTTAGAGATTGGCACCTCTGGACACTTGAAGCCGAGGAAGGCTGAAAAAAAAACGACATAATTAGCATAAGTAATTTAACATATTCGTTGTTCATTATTTATTATTGTTATTCAATACTAAAAGTAATACTAATCATAATATCGTAGATGCAGTCAAATAAGCTTAAGACGATGTTCCAAGGATCGAACTGAAAACGACTCAAGCGTAAAGGGCGTGGCAAAGCAGCAATAAAACACATAATTGTGTATTGTACAAAATTAATTGAGGGCCCATAAGTATATGTTATATTTCAAATAGGAATTGAAGTAAAAATTTCAATAAATGCGTAAGATATATGATTTGTACCTAATAATAAACTGATAATACTAAAGTATAATAATAAGACTACAGTTTTATTTAAAAAGTGTGACAAATAAACGTGAATTTGATTAAAAAACATGATCACATAGGTCAGTATGATGAACATAGAATAGGTATTTTAATGTCGTCTAAATGTCATACAGTGAATCCGGGGTTTATTTGGTAAATTAATATTCTTAATTATTGCCTTTGATTTGGCATAATGAAGTGCTTGTATACTTTATGAGCGGTTTCAAATTTAAATATTTTCTATTTAATATTACAAGGTTTTTTACCTTTGGAATAATACTTAGAAGATTACAATAAGTTATTTTTACATCTCTATTGAAAATACGTGATAATTAAAAAGATTTTTTAGCAGTCAGCGTCAAGTATTTACTCCTTGGAATATATGACCCAATATTACACAAAATAGTCGCATAATGGTCTGGAAACACAATGCCTTCTATCGACTAAATCATCAATTATCATATTAAAATTTGTTACCTTCAGCATCACAATCGGTGACCTGGTCGGGCCACTCGCATCTGTAGGTATCAGAGCTGAAGGCAAGACCCTCAGGGCAGGTGAAGTCGTATCCCACTCCATTCACGCAGTTCCTGAAGCTGCTGCAGTTCTTAGCATCGCCGATCTTAAAGTAACCGAACTGATGGGGACAGTTGTCGGTTGGCTGAGCTGGCTCTGGAATTGCAGATTTCTTACGTCATTTGTTAAGTTTCTCACGGGACTGGAACCTACGGTTTCCTTCACTTTGATTGATGTCACTAATTAGTTAAAGAGAATTTAAGAGATGAAAACATACGAGTATGTCAATTCAATTTTCAATGTCATAACCATAATAATGACAGAAGAATGTAGTTCTATAATTATTGAAAATGCATTGGTACATGGTTAGTGCACCACGTTGGACCTATAAACTACAATTCACATCTACGTTATTACGTTATTATTCTAACACTAAGTTATTTCAACAAAGAATGGCATTTACTACCTTATATCTTCTTTTGGAGATAACTACATTGTCATAGAAAGATACGAAGGTAAAAATTCCTTGCTCGTGTAATTATTTAATTATCTCAAGTATTTTTGCGTTGTGCATATGTTTGACCTAAAGGATTATACCTAACCGTCACGCCGCTCTGTCTCCACGTAGAGACAGATAAGAATAAAAAGTTTCATCTGTCGCGCCTTTTGCGACGAGGGGACGGTTGGAACTTATTTTATAACAGTTCCTTCATTGACCTTATTGGTGATGTTGGTAATAAAAGGTGGGACCGATGATACTGTTTATTCTGCCGTGACGGCAGAGCAGGGTGACGGTTGGGAATAAAACCTAAGACATACGCAATGCTAGTGTATGGCCACCCCATAGTGAATATTTAAAACATGGTTAAGACGTCCAAACAATTGTTACTAAAATAGTTTATAATACTGTGTACTTAGCAAACTTTTTTTATTTGTCATATTTCGAAATCTTATAAAATTGGGCTATTTGATTAAAACTTAAAAATTGTAAAAATTTTTTCTTTTAATTTGCAAAGTTACATGGCCAGTCTTCTAATCTGTATTTTGTATAAAAATAAGGCGAAGAATTGATTTGGTAAAATATCGTAGATTAATAATAACTATGTAGATTTCAAGTTCATAACAAAAACATGTTTTTTTTTGTATTCTGTTAATAATTTTTTTAATAACATTTTAATGCTGTTCATAATTATTATTTACTGGCTGGTATTAACTGTTTTAGTGTCCGCGTGCTTTACCATTTAAAAGAATTCACGATTAAGAATAAATAAACGCATAGAATTCTTAGAAAACCCGTGTTAACATTTTGTACACGTATCTTTAAATAGACTAGGGTTTTTTGTCTACATTTGATCCCAGTTTTTTACTGTTTTAATACATTGATTCTTTGGCTTAGGATGCATTATCTTATTCACAGAAGACTCCGATGATTTTGTACATTTTTTCATAATAAAATTATCCATACCTGTATATGTATCTATAGATTTAATTAGCTAATATAGCTGATGACTTCTTCATGGAAGAGCAGCACATACTGTGCCGACCTTCCGTAAAGGATAAGGGCAAGTTGATGATGCGAAAGTTTAGACTGATGGATGTTTGTTAGAGTAATATAAACAGCTGAACGGATTTGAAATTGGTATAGATGTAGAGCACAGTGTAGAAGAAAACAGAGGCTACAGACTTTTGTTTTTTAATATAACGCGAACGTAGTCGCGGGTTCTAGCTAGTAAGAGAATATTAAAAAGGTGTTCAGAACACTATAGTTATCTCTACATAGATAGTTGGAAATTTTTTCTAAATCACATTCTGCTTTGTATCGTTATATTAATAACACATTTTAATGTAAATGTAAAAGATTAAATTAAAACATTGTTTACGATTAAATCAAACAAAAGAAGGAAAACAAATGAAATGCGTTTTATAGTGGTTAAATATCAAAGTTGAGTTTGTTTTGTACGTAGTTGTTGCATTTGCACAAACAATGTCATTATGAAGCGCTTAATAAAGTCAAATATATTGATAGTTTCTATTTTAATATAGTTTGCTACATCTTAAAGGATTAAGACTAGTATTATTAACATGTAACACTAGAAAGTTGTCTGTGAATTATAATTATAAATGTTAGTAAAAGTTTGTTTATTTTATTTAACACTTTGTATACGTAATTATGTCTCTTATACGCTTGCAAGTAGATACTGAAAGTGTTATTTTATTGTCTGCTTTGTTGGTTTTTTTAAAGCATACAATATGAGTACTTTCAATATCGTCATAAGCAACTACATAATATTGTACACATTTTCATATATTCCACGCTATTTATAATACTTCGAAGCTTCAAGCCAACAAAACGAAGTTATACAGCTGTTTCGGGTGTATTATCAAAATAGAAAATAGGAATTCATACGTACGTAGAGTGGAACGCGCCAGACAGGGCACATCGGTTGGATACTGGCAAGGGTACACGTTGAATCTCACGTTAGGGTTGAAACGCAGACCATCCGGACATAACTTCTCCTCCGCAGTACCGTTCTGTTAGAAGAAATATAAAATCATTATTGATACCACACTAGTATATTTTGGCAATTAAAATTGTGATATCTTTATAATTAGCAAAACTTTTAGGAACTAGCCAGTTAGTCTATACTAATGTTATAAAGAGGAAAAATTGTTTTTATATGTATTGAAATAACTCAAAAACTACTGGGCCGATATTAAAAACTCTTTCACCGTTAGAAAGGTAATTGCTTTAAATAACACTGTCTATTTTTATGGTTATTTTTTTAATTTCACGCGGACGAAGTCGCGAGCAACAGCTGGTAAGTAATAAAATAGCAATCGTCGAAACTTAACAATTTGAGTATCGTTAAATTTTATAGCTATAATAAGGCAATGCTCACCAGACATTCGATGTATCTATCACAGCTTCCTGGTACCGGGTAGCGTTCATTCTTCTCCACACATCTCATGTTAAACGCTTTTGGAGCGGACTGTGATTCGTATTGATCGGGCGCTTGAACGTAAGATTGTCTGGTAATATCTATATTACCAATGCTACTACCGGAGTCGGTCACACCAGTTATCACTTCACTATCTTCATCATAGTTCCTCGCAGCTTCGTTTGATTCAATACCCGGAGTGTAACCGCCACCTTCACCGATACCGACTACTTCATCGAAAGCAAATTCTCCATTATTGTCGAAATTCTCTTCGCCAGCTGCCAATTGTTCTGAATACGATTGCTGTGCGTTCACTGTGGACAAAATCTTATTTAAATAAAGAGCAATTATCTGAAGAGTTTTAAATTTAACTCGTGGATTGTAAGTTAGGGGGTATCGCATGAGAGGTAAAACTAACCTTCACGAGTATACCGGAAAGCAGTAAATAAAAATAAATTATCATTTAACAACAAATTTACTGAGATTAGAGTGTTTATTCTTATTATAAAATCTTAAGATTTTCAGCACGAACACACATTTTTTTTAAAACATTATGTTTGCAATGCAGTCTATCAAATAATTTTTAACTGTTCAATTTTCGTGTTTTCAAATATCGATTGCAGAGGTTAAAATTATAATGGCACAGTGACCCCAAATGATGTAGTCACCGAAAACACCCATATTACATAATTTAAATGGTGATAAAACAAAAGAGAAAGCTGATATGTGAAGGAAGAAATATTCGTAATGTTTACTGTAGGTTACATACTACTATTCTGCAAGATTCAATGTAAATATTTTCATTTCATTGTTCTGCTATTTGAATTTATAGTACGCATTTCGTCTACGAGTGTTTGAGTCGCTGATTCCCAAGCTGTAGTAACAATAAGCATATTTCTTCTGGTATTTTAATGTAGGGAATGTTGGGAATAATAACAAAAAATACATCTGTTTCTAAGAATTTTCAATCGTTTGATGCAATCGGAAATCTAACCTATAAAAGTACTATATTAATACTTTAGGAATATATCGTTTGTCTTTTGTTTGGCTTTCTAGTATTCTTTTTTGTTTTAAGAATATATTTTTCGAAATAAAAATAAATTAGTACCTAGTTATGATTTTTTTGATAGCTAAGAACATAAGTGACTATCGATTTCACAATTTACAACATAGGAGCTTGTTTCAAGACGATAGAATCGTTAAAATAACAATAGTCAACAATGTATTTTAACGAATATGTTGCAAGTTATTTTGTAAAATAGTAAAATTGTTATTGCTATCTCAAGATTCTCTTTATATCGAAACTGTTGTAACAGTAAGTAAATGATTTTACATAACTGCGATAAAATTTAGTATCGAGACAACGACTTTTAAAGATGGCCACCATTAAAATGTTTTATATAGATTCAATTAATAATAACGTATTTAATTCGTTACCGGAATATTGATTGGGTGATATTTAAGTGAGTGATGTTGAAGATAATTTAAAAATAAATGCCATATATTACGAGTTTATGTAGATTTGATTCTTGTCCTTTAACAATTCGAGGTCGTTTTATATTCAGAATTTTTTCTTAATACATTATTTTTATAATTACAAATATTATCCAATTTTAATAGACTATATTTTGGATTATGAGAGAAATGAAAAGTATTTTTTTAAAAACAATTGAACATTACAAAATTAACAGCTTAGTTATCGATACCAATATTATAAAGATGATTGTATTTTTGTATGTCTTGAAATAACTCAAAAAATGTGCCGATTTTAAAAATTCTTTCACAATCAAAAAGCTACATTATCAGTAAGTAACATAGGCTATATTTTTTAACGCGGGAGAGGTCGCAAGCAACAGCTATTATTTTATAAAAATGTACGTTTTGACATGAAAATGAACATGTTTTTACACGTTAATAAAATATTTACATTATAGTAATTTAACATGAAACAAAACAATAATTTTATTATTTCCTAGTTGCGCAAATAATTATCATATGTTTGAATATTAATAAATCCTATCTTCTTTATAATTTGTCTTAGACAATTATAATGAAGCTATTGTTTACGACAAACCGCGCGTTGCATTACACAATTTGATAAATCCATATAGTTCCTCGTTATTATTATTTAATATGATTCTTTTAATGAAACATCGATATTATTTAAACTATAAATAGTTATTTAAAAATTGTTTTATATTCTTTTTTGTTTGACTATGCGAATATAACTAAAAAGTTACGTCCTTACATTAAGAATTCCATGTAGTAATAAAGAAAGTCCTTTATCTATTCTAATATTATAAAGAGAAAAGTATTTTTACCTATAAAAGATAATTAATAAAATCAAAAATATTTTTACCGATTTAAAATTCAAGTCTGACAAAAGCTAGTTAATAATATTAAAACAAACTTTGCCAACTACGGTTATTGCTACGATATAATGTCATTTCTTATAAATTATAGGCAATTAAAATGACACAAAAATATGTATAAACCCTATAAGCCCTTTATTATAAGATAGTAAATAAGCGTAACTTACCCGCGCAGACGCAAAACAATATCACAATAGCGATCCTCATATCGACCACTCGGACGACGTTCGCGTTAAGATTGGTACTGAGAGCGTTGGCTTACGGCGCTGAGATGTTCGACCTTGAGGACACACCTTGCGAAACCCCGTCTCATCACACCGACCACACCCTGTTACATCATCCCTACACCGTCATATATACGCATGAAGGAAATCATACTAATATTACAAATGCGAAAGTTTATATAGTTTGTATATATAATTTGGTTATGGTTGTTATGTGATAGTCTGGAAGAACACATAGGCTACTCACTTTTTTTTTAATTCCAGCCAAACGGTGTCGCAATAATGGTATTAACTATTAGTTTCCTGCGGTACTCGTAATTAGATGACAAATAGGTTTTCAGTAAGCTATCGTGTACTATCAACTACCACATAACATGAGATAGGAAGATAAAATTGTTAGAAAAACCATACTACAACAGAATATGGTCTTTTTCGTTAAATTATTTTTACTTCCTGGTCGAATCTTAATTATTGTAGCGTGAATTAGATAACCTTTAAAATTGAAAGCATAATTAGAACATAATGGTTCACCAGTTTATAAAAACCAAAGTATAAGATTTATCTATGTTAATAACTATATCAGCAACTTTTTAAATACAATAGCACTACTGTTGACAGGAATGAATACTAGGGTTTATTTTGAGTACCATACCATATTGTACCATATCATTATGGTTCACGACTCAAGGTGGCGGGAATAGAACCCACGGCCACGTGTTTAGATGCTGTATGTATGTTAGTGTACTTGTAGTTGTATGTCGTGACGTCACATGTTTGCGTGAATTCCGTGATCCGATATTGTGATATTGAATGCTGATGGATTCTCAAGACATTTGATACGCGTTCTTGTAATAAATACTACAAATGTCATGTTACAGTTCACATTTATCCCTTTTCAAGGTTAGCTAACTTCCTGTTAAAGGACAAATAGTGTATCTACGTTTTTTTTAATAAACATATTTTATAATAATTACAGTTGTGTGTGTAAGACACACAAACTAATGGCACTTTCGATTAATAATCATAATATTATCAGAAAACCAAATTAAAAACTTGTTTGTGATAAATTTTGGCGCGTTGATGTCCTTTGTATGAAAAGCTGATGTTTTTCGTCTGATATTAAGAAACCAATTTTCTCAGAATTTCTCAATTCCAAACATCCTCGCGGAATTTTAGTTTCCAAAATGTACTTCTACTAAATCCTTTAAAGTCAATTATTACCAAAATTTGTTATACAGGATGTACTGAAAGTTAAGCAGAATTCATAAAAAAGACGCTTTTAACAGAGCCAAAATTTATCTTAAATAAATACATCGATTGTATATACAACACTTATTTAAAATAGTAGAATTTTAGTATTTAATTTTAGGTATTTTTGCTAAATCTGCTAATTGAGAGACCTTGTATATTGACCTCCTTCCTGCTTTAGTTTGTTTTAGCGCAAACCAAAACGTCTAGATTCGATCTTGACCTTTTCATTTATTGGTCAAGTTTATTCACATATTTGTTGATTGTAGCTGTGCCGTCTGTCATCTTTTAAATATTTATTGTTTTAAAAGGTCTGACATTTATAGATTCTGTTAATTTCTTTGGTATGAAAAACTTTGTACACAATTATAGATAGCAGTGGAAGCTTGCGATAACTTTCGTAATAAGTTTATCTCAAAGAGGTTTCATGCTTACAATATATGTTTCTCATCATGCAGTCGTTTGCATAAAATAGACACAAAATAAATGAAATTAGGAAATTTCGTTTCGACAAAATTTAAATTAGTCTTTAAATACCAAATTAATTGTCTAAATAAAGTATCTTGGATACGAGGAACTTATATTGCACTTTGTAGATATTTTTTTTAATAAACTACTAACCATTTTTGTATATGTGGGGGAAAACAGATTCATAACTTTAAAAATGAATCATAGATTCTAAGGAATATTTCCAAGATAAATGTTTTATAAATTGTTTATTTAAAATTATTTTTGCAAGTATGAATAGATTGTCTTGTCAGGTTGTCTTGTTTTGTTGGGCATCTACGAATGTTGTGTCGATATGACAGCCGTTTTTAAAGTTTTTTTTTTATACATTGTTGGTTTTTTAATAAATAAATTTCAGGACTATTCAGCTCCATAGAAGAAATCATGCAATCATAGACTGTGGTTATTTTCTTTTTCTGTAAGAAAATACATTTGCTAAGTCAACATTTTAGTTAGCAATGTTCTGAATTTGTAACAGCGAACAATTTACAATAATTTATAACGTACGTGTAGGTAATGTGGATACTAAAGCTGTATTGGATTAGTCATAGATTTTGGCAGAAATTCAATTTAAATCAGACACAGGTTTTTAGTATTCCGGTGTACAAGTTCATCGTACAGATTTATAGTATAGGTCACGTTTAGTACTAGATTTATGTTTCTTTGACCTAGGTATGACTAAGAGCCTTATCTTCTGCATATGCAAAATAAAACTGAGTAGGATTCAAGTATGACTATTTTATAGTATATTTAATATCAATTAAAAATGATTTCATTTTATCTTAATTTAGAGATTTGTTTTTATACTAAATTAGTTCCCGTTTTTATAGTTATTAGTATGTTTGTATTATCTGTGGTAGTGGTTATACACACCTTAAACGCTTATACTCATCGACAGCATTTTGTATGGGGCCAAAAGATTTAAATGGCGTCCACGTATGATGTTCACGTAATTAGACCTCCCACAAAAAGACGATCGATCTACTCAAGGTCACACAAGTCTATTGTCTAAAAGGTGTAGGGATATGTTACTTATGGTGATTTTTGGGAGAGCCACATTTAAAATTCTACGTACATATGGATCATACCTGATAATAAATTAAAAAATGTACGTTTTAAACTCAAAGATCTAGTCACAATTTTATGATGAATCGAATAATATACGACTAATGAAAACCTGCTTGATGTTGACATTCTTGGAGTGTCCGCCTGCAAAAAAGATGCAGCAATGTTTAAAATAAATTTATTTGCGGATTGATTTTTACCGAATAACGGTGTTTGGTCACTAATTCCTTGGTAGCCTCTAATACCGCTGGTTTTCGAAAGGGTTTAACAATGTAAAAGGACAGCATAAGAATAATTTATTCCAAACTTTGCCAACAATTTATGGAAAAAATCATCAAACATTGATCAGAATGGGGAAAACCGTTGCCAGAATCTTGAATTTCAACACACGTACGCGCTGAAGATCAGCTTCCTTATCTCGGTCCGCTAACTGATTCGTATTCACACCCGTCACCCGCCGCCCGCCATTTTGCATACGTATTTTGGGATTTCACATTCTGTTGATTCATACGATGTAGCAGTTAAGAAGTTTAATAAAACTTCTCTGTGATATATTGTTTTTAAAGTTAAGATTTTCATATGATAAAAAAGTAAAAGTTTGTAAAAAGCATAGTGATTTTCGAACCTTACATACTAAGTACATGTTATAATAAAAGGAACACGTTTGTTGCTAACAATAAAAACTATAGTTTATATAGATTTCATTTCTGAATTTTCTAAGAAATCGATTAATATTTGAATGATTTTATTTAGGTTACATATAGGATCTTACATATATTCATGTTTTAAGTCGTTTAAACCTCTTAGTTATTTTAATATTTTAATTATTAATAGATGATTCAATACCATCGTTCATATATCCGGTAACCTTTCGAACTTTACATTCAAACTCATCGTTTTAAATATCAAAATTATCATCGATATAATATTTTCTTGATGAGTAAGGAATCTATAATGAACTATGACGCACATCAAAGCTAGAGTTTCCTTCCCTTTATGACACAGTGTAATAAAATACCGTAGAACAAGGAAACTTTTGTTATAAGTTAGTTGAGGCTTGTGATCGAATGACAGTAACAGACAAGGTAATTACCAGGTGAGATTACCTTGTCTGTTGTATCTCGTATCCTGTACCTTGTATCTTCATGTTATTTTTTATTGTATAATAGATATTTTTATATAATATACTTCTTACCATGTCCTAGACATGAGAACTAACTTTTTTCTTATAGCCCCTGGTTAAAATTTTACTGTTATCGGAGAACCCTTGTTGCTATTTCTTCTCCAATTTGTGAACTTTTATTTTCCTCACCGTCGTAAACCTTTGCTGTGTCTTACTTAGATCTTTGATGATCCACCGGGACCACCGGTAATTACTGTTGTAATTCCAAATTACATATATAGCGATCTTATCTACATTTTTATTGGACCTTTTTTTAATGAAGCGATTATACCTATCGTTATCTCTATCAATGGACAGGCTGTAAGTGGTACCTACTGTGTGCCTAGATTTTGTCGCTGCCAGTATCGGTTGGTAGCGGTGGTGGTCGTTCAAAGTAATAATAATGAAAATAACTGCCTGTAAAATCAACAATAGCGTTGAATTGGAAATGAAGCCTAAGCTGTCATCTCTGTTAACCTATCCTTTTGTTAATATCAGTGATTGTATAGTAACTTTGGATGTCAATGTGACGTTTGGTTGTTTTCATAAACAATGAATAAAACTTGGATCTCGTCATTGAACTGTTTTATTCTCATTTTATCTTTACGTACTGTTAATAAATATTTATTAAATGAAGTAAAATATGTGGTACAAACTAACATCGATGTACCGTCTAATACAAATTTACTATATGGGAAAATACCTTTTAGAAATGTTAGATATTTGGAAACATTAAATCAAGGGGCTGTTATACGTTACTCAAATGGAGATAGTCGCAACGGTGAGTCCGATTCCAAAAATGAAAATGGAGTCGAACAAAACCCTGAAACTCAAACTAAAAATGAGACAACTCCAACTGAGAACTCTGGCACTCAAAATGAGAACTCTGGCACTCAAAGTGAGAACTTTGGCACGCAAACTACCGAAGTACCAATTGAAAGTAGAAGTCGCATCGAAACATATGATGAGTTTGCTCGATACAGAGACTTGAACCGACCTCCAGACACGCATTATCCACCAGGACCTCGTCCAGGCTACAAACGTTCTTATGCAAACTCCATACAATCATTTAGTGTTTTAATAACCATTAAAGTATTCTTCTTTTTATGCTTAATTAATAAGTAAACTAGTTTTTATCGTATATCGTACGATCATATTTTTAATGCGCCTTTTCATGTTGTCCCCGTTGAATAATTTTCCTTTCACGTCTTATTCTTATTAGAAGCATTGCTTTATTTCTGGTTACAGCGTGAACTACGCATTTTAGGTATTTCTAAATATCCACAAATATGGTCTTTTTATATATCTCTTATTTTGAAAGGGAATAAATTAATAGAAAAATAAAAAAGGCAAATTGTATTTCATATTTAATTCAGATTACACCTGTATATTCGTATGAAAATTTGACGTACAAGATAAAATACTTAGCACAATATTACATGTTGATAAATACATTTTCGTAAATGATCACATTGAGAGACTTTTCAATAGGTATTGCGTTTTAAAACTAATGGGCACTTGATGCCTTAAGTGAAAACTCACCACATGCGTGTACCATAACCAAAAACCCCTTTTTTAAAGCTAAAATAAACTAAAACAATACTAATCATTCGCCAATGTTATATTTTCAGATTTTATATAAAGAAAATATTCTTACTTTACATAACTTATAATAAACTTAACTAATGAACGTGGTGAGCTTAAACACTTGTATTTCTATCACATAACTTAAGTCACTTTCTAAATTAGGCTGGATACAAATCGCTTAGCTCGAATATAAAAAATTTTGAAAATTCGCTTTCTCAAAATATTTTAATACAATTTTATATAATTACAGCAAGATCTTAAAATACCTTACAACTAAAATATAGTGACGTTACAATCGATTATAAACCGTTCTGGTTAAGGCAATATGATATACAATGTGCAGGCAAAATGCAAAATAGGACAGGCTTCAACCATTCCGAACGAACCATTACATTATTACTAATCTCAGATTATATGATGAGCTTCCCAGACATTAAAAGTATTTTTTAACATGGCAACATTGTTATCCAATTTTTACGTTACATAACGTTTACAATTTAAATTTCGAATTCGAAATTCGGTTAGTAAAACGGAACGTAACGCAGAATATTCTAGAGCTGTCAATGTCAACTGTCATTGCTCACCATATAAAATGTCAACTATACACATTACATTCGAAATTTTAAAATGATTTAAAATCATCTCACTTTCCTAATCATATATAATCTTAAATAAAACTTACGCGTTTATAGTATAGAATACAATGGGCCTCCAAACAATAATCAAATATTTGGACACTAAATACACCAAATTAAACATGTAATATTCCTTTACAATAATTATGGAAGATCTTGAAACATTATCGCTGATGTTTAAAAGAAAAAAATAAATTTATTATTTGTAACGGATAAACTCAAAAACTACTGGACCGATTCTAAAAATTCTTTCGCCAATATAATGCTACAATATCCTTAAATAACATAGGCTATAATTTATTCAATATTATAATAAAATGTTTAAAAAGCTAGGATAAGCCCACTAGTTGTCTATAAAGGTAAATGGTACATTATAACCTAAAAAGGCGAACCACATAAGTATTAACCAAAGGTTGGAGACCCATCCTAAATTAGGCTTGTAACCACAAACGGCTTTCATTAAAAAAGTACTTAAATAAATATAGTCAAGTACCTTCTTAACTTAAACCATTAAAAATAAACTAAAATATTTACATAAAAACGGAAATTTTCTTTACATTTGAATTATGAAATTATTTCTAATACGATATATTAAATTCTCACGACCCTAACGTCGATAACTTAAATGTATTCTAAGATTACTGGAGAAATGTTTTGTTCCTAAGTTTATTTGGTGTATTAAAATAGGATCCCTTATACTGGGTTTCTGAAGTTTCCACTTATCTTGTCATTACCTAGCGATTCGTTAGTACTACGTTGAGTTATATTCCAACGGAATAAAACTCAAGTTACGTAGTTCGGAAATGCATTTCATGAAGTTATCGAACCAAAAACACTAACTGATGGTTAAAAATAGCTGGGAAACCAGCTATTAGTCAGTTTATGTGTTACTTCTTGATATTCATCATTTACTTCATTAAGGGCCTGTCCCACCAAATTGTAAATTGTCTGATAAACAATCCGAAGTGTAAAATATGTGATGGTCATTTTTAAGCTATCTGAGTCTCAGACAGTGGTGGGACAGGCCCTAACTAATATTTATTTAACCAAATATGACTTAATTTTGAAATATTAAATTCTAAATACTTATCAATTTGGACAGATTATGTATTTAGAAAAAGACGGTATACACGTGTGAGTCAGGAAGTCAATTTTTGGTCATTACATTCACTAATTAGGCACTTATCGAATACATGTCCGCAAAAGATATAATGAGTACAAAATCTATAAGATTAATTGCTACCGTAGAAAGCGAATACGTCTTATTTTTAATATGATATGTTTCGTTACGTTTTAGTATTCCAACCAGGGCAAAGGTTACGAACTCAAGTCATTTTTCTATAATTTGTGTAGTGCGCAATTTTGTTGTGCGTAATTTTTAATCTGTATATAGATCACAATGCACATCCATTTCTGACGCCATAGAGTTTCTTGAGTTCAGGCATTATGACGTTTTTAACAAAGCTCGACTGTCGGCCGGCGATCGCGTCCCTCTTGGGATTCTTGGCGTAATGCTTGATTCCGGGCTTGTGGATGAGGAACGCGTTGTTCAGTATCATGAAGTCATAATCCTTCACGCAGAGGATGTAACCCTGGAAAACATAGATATATTTTTAGATGGTATGCTTTAAATAAAATATAGCATATCTTTAGCTATGAAAGGGGCTTAACAGTTACATTGCCAGATAAGAAATCAAACCGTTTTATCGCGTGTAATGTGCTAGGGTATGTATTCAAACTTGTATGCTTATTATTAGATGCAAACATAATGACTGTTTATAATTAACTGTTGGTATACCTACGCACTACACATACTAATACATCCCGCATGCTAAATTGTGCTCGCAGCATCTCGAGCCGCTATAAACTTTGAATGGCACTATACTTAACGGCGTTCCCACAGTAAAGAACTGCGTTTGTGCGTGTCTGTGTAAATTTGCAGCGCTGCAAATTCAATTCACAGCACGTGCTCATGAATTTAAGAGTATAGGAATTAAACACGACTTGCTAACGGTTAAATCCAACAGCAAAATCTGCATATTAGAGGCTTTTGAACGCAAAATTGAATTTGTTCGCAACGAGTCGTAATTTCATTGCCTTTAGAATTTGTGGATTTTAAGGACGAATTATATCTACCACTACACGTCTGGTTCGTACTGTCAATTTATTATTTACCTTGTAAAAAGAAAGAAATAATTGGTGTAAACGATAAATTCACGACTCACAAAAACATAAGACTATTTTAATCTTTGATCAGTGGTAATGATCTCAATTATATTCACATTTATCCTTAAGCTAGCTACACACGCTCAGTTGCATCCGAACACTTAGATAGTTCAGATAAATCCTGTGTATGTAATATTCATAACTGAAAAGTTCTTAGTTTTAAAACTGAGTGTGTATAGTGGGCTTTATTTCCTCTTTAACGTATTCTAGATGTTTTGATCGTGTTTTGTTTTACAATTCATTTCAGTTAATCTTTTCATGACACTTTATTGTACTAAAACGAACAAACAGTTCTTGATATCGTAGAGTAAACGCAGACTGTTGGCAAACATTAACAAATTCAACATTGTATCAAGGTTTTCAAGTTACCTGAGTCATCTTGTCCTTCTTCCCCTCCCAGCTGAGCCGCTCGTCGTAGTAAGGGTCTTGGTGAGTGCCGATGAAGATTGGCTCCCAGTGGACGTATTTGCCGCGTCGCTTGCCAACGTGGAATACGTCCATTTCTGAAATGATTAATTGTATGCACATTTTAAACATAGATTGTAATAAACAATGAGATTATAAAAGTCACAGGTCCTTTATTACTGCTATAATTTCCGTAATAAGTTTCTTTGTAAATCATGAATTCAAACAAAGACTTTCAGTCATCAAGTTATTTTTAAATCTACTACTGTTTACAAAAAAATAGATAATTTAATTAAATAGAAACAAAGCACAGCTACAATGGATTAGCTCGCATTCTAACGATAACGAAGCGAAGGCGTGATCTAATTAGCATAGGAAGTCGAGACTGCACTCGAGTTCGCGGAGACTTGGCGAATTGGCGTAAAAGTTTGCGCCGAACGTGAGGCGAGCGGCTGGTGGAGGTCATTGAACCATAATACGCAATTAGAATGCCCCATACGACGGCCACGGTTCGCTCCAGCAGGCATAAATAGCTCACGACGTTCAATACACGAGATTAATTACTGCTCCGGACTTATTGCCAGGTATTAACAGTGATGGACAGCGGTGCAATAACTATACGAATGTTGAAGCGAATGTATCATATATGATTTAATGTCGTGTGTAACTAGCATTACATGGCTATGTGGCATGGCGTTATAAGCCAACTTTTTCTGAATCAGACAAACCTAACGACATTGTTGGAAACGTTTTAATGAGTTTTTATTTAATTAACGATATTCTGATAAAAGTTAAAACTGATGTTACATTTTCTTCTTAATTGAATATATGTATAATTAATTATTGCATTAATTTTGTTTCTGTTTTCATAACATTGATGTGCATATCAATTCAGATTTGCTTTTAAATGCTAAAATATAACAAGGTAATAAAAGTGTTAATTACAATTGAAAGATATTACGTATAGCAATATTTTGATATCTTAAATTGGTCATTAAAATCTTTACGAAGTCATATACATAAATGTGAATTTTGCAGGAAATTTGCTATAAAACTCGCATCATGCAATTAAAATGGTTATGAAATAACAAAGTAAATGTAACAATAATGAATACGCTAATTTTGAAACTTTACATAGTAATTGACATCATTTCATTGTAATTAACATTTACAATATTGCCAACAAACAAATTGCTTGTTGATTCGTTTTACTGCGCACACACCTTTCACTAAACTATCGCACAACTTTTTAGTCGCGCTGTGATTCCTATGAGCTTATATGGACGTGCGCACACTTCGATAGTTGTGCAACTAAACAGTTGAATTGGCTGCGAAACAATCGACAATCGCAGACAATTGTGCGATTGTATAATGAAAGGTGTGGGCCCACTTTTAAAGTTCAAATCGTAGTTAAAAGATTTCAGACCAATATTCGAATTTAAGAAATTAATTCCAGTACAACTATTATAATAGAAAATAACTTTACGTTTTAAAAAATGTAACTAACATACTAATTACTATTAGCATATGTTAAGTAAAATCTATATCCGTGTCTTGTATAGATTTACAATATTGCATGCTTGTCCGTGCTTTGGTAGTCGTTAAGATCTGTTCCGGCTTCTTGTTAGTAAATGGGTGTTAAATCACGACGGCCTTAGGAGCCTTGACGACTATGGTCAATGAATAGATGGTAACATTCTGGTGAAGAAAGCATCTAGGCAATTGGAAACAATTAGAATACATGAACACATATTTAGCAGTAATGTGCCTGTGAAGGAAATCTGGGTAGTCACCATGTCGTTACATGAGAGAGACGAAAAATATATAACATGAGAACAAGTGAGATAGCTGTATTGAATTTAGTCGAAAGTAGACTATTTTACACTTCTACTTATGATATCTTTTTTTTAAATACATCTTAACTTGTTTTATACTTACGGCTAGTTTCGGCTGCATTCATCCATTGCTGTCCCTGTGGTATATTGTGACAGTTTGGACAAACATACTTGTGGAAGGGGATGGCCGTTTTCTTCACCAACATAGCTTGCAGTTCCGTTTTAGTAGACGGCACCTGTAATTACATGATAAATGCATAATGATAATTGAAAATCAAATGCAAAACAGTTTTAATCCTACTATCCAATAAGTTACGCATTTATGTCCAGTTTACACTTGGCTAAGACAGTAACAACAGACAGCAATAAACTGGCATAGTGTGAACACTAAATGGCGCTAGTGAGTCCACAATTCATGACTGGTAGGCGCAACTGTCCTACTAT